GTTGGATAACTTCTTCAATCTGTCCCATACCAATTTTGTCTTCTAGCTTCTGAATATCTGGTTCCTAGAATAGATTTATATGACAAACTATAGCAGCTGATACGGATCATTATGCATTTTGGCTCATCGTATAATAGGAATCATTTAAATGATTAAATTCTAACTTCCTGCACTAAAGCCATCCTCTTTTTTATAAGCTGTTCCGTATGTCTCCGGTATGCCGAATGTGAAGGTATCTGCTCCAATACTTTCATTAACCGTCCATATTCTTTCAACAAATTTTGGTGTGCATATTCGTCAACGAACAAGCCAGTTAATCCGGTTGTCTGCAACAATAAACCATACAAAACAATAATATATGAAACAGTACAAAATAAGAAGTATTCCGGAAAGGCAAAACAAAACAAAAAGAGCACGAACAGGAAAAATAAAGTTAAAAAGCTTTCCAAGATTAGGATAACAGGAAATAACCATAAGAAATCGGGAGATCGAGAAAACATACGGTACCTTGCAAAAGATACTGTATGATTTCGACCACAATTCGAAATTCATTTGATTAATCCGTAATTCACGTAAATTACGAAACAAGGACAGTGCTAAAGCTTTCCTATATGTTCCAAAAGGATGGAACTGGTTATTGCACAAGTTTTTGTACGCATCAGTGTTTAGTAGTGTCTTTCCAGGCACCCATTAAGAAAACTCCAGCCTTCTAACCTAAGTGAATTAGTTGGGATTTGAAATCTGAAACAGCAAACATAGTGTAGAACAAATTGAAATGATAAGATTAACTAAAGAAATGTCATAATTTCCTAGTCATTCTTGTCCTTTCAATTCATTTCCATTCTAAAGCATACCTGTTTATGAAAAGTCGGTGAGGGAGGCTTTTTAGGTTTAAATGTTTTTATATACGGATTATCATACATTGTTCGTATTGCATTTTGCAGAATGCGTTGCGAGACACGCTGCAAACCGTTCGGACTAGGCAACATTTATGACCTGAAATGGATTAAAAGAACAGGCTAAATTTGGGAAATATCATCAAATGGTATATGACACAGTAAATAACAGTAGGACCACACTTCCTAATATGTCCGCACCTCTAATTTATGCCAAAAATTTGAAGTATAAGACAAAGAATATTGCTCAAATTTGAAGATGGATAACAGTAATCAAGACTAAGCATAGCTATATTTATGGTAAAAGTGTGAAAATGAAAATGAATTACTAATTCTGCTCCCTCTTTGTTCTCCCCAATCTTGATTGAGGAGAGCGAAGAAGGTGCGCAATTAGTTAATTTTTCTAACTGAATTTTGGAGAGAACAGAGAAGAAGCAAAATAAGTTCACTTTTATATCTCTAGATTATATTTCCTAAACCAGTGAAATTGTCGATTCTATGCATCATTGAACCAATCGAAAAAAAGAAAAATTTTATGGCAAACTTTCTATAAGCAATACCGCTTAAAATTGCAGCTAACCAGTAAGTTAAAAACTGTAAAACATATCTTTCATCAAGATCTAAAGTAGAAAAAAGAAGATATTTGCCATCTTTCCGGAAAAATGAAATGAAGAATCGAAAGATGATTTTGAAAATTATTAAGAAATTAAAAAATGTAATTTCCCTTCATTTCGCATTTCCGGAATAAAAACCAAAAACACTAAATTTTCTGAAACAATACAAATTGCCGAGGTTTAAGTTATAAAGATGGCGTCATGTTAATTACAAGAAATGCGAATGATTTTTAGCAAGAATATCTGGGTAACTGGGAGTGATAAGAGAGAGTATTATTGAAGAATTGAAAATTAGAGGGAGATTGGAAGTAAACTTGATAAGATTGAAAAAATAAGGGCAAGATTTTCTTGTTAGAAAGAGTTATTGTTAATTAGTAAAACATCATCCCGAAATCAACAAACTTAAAATTGGAATAAAGGAGCAGTGAAATATTTAACGAACTGCATGTGGTATACTGGGATGAAAATTCTGATCTCACCATCAATTTTAGTTATTTTTATTGGTTATAAGCATTATTTAAATTGCTTAATTTTAAAGTTTTTATTTGTGAATAGCACATAATGCTACGAAAAAAGTGTTCTTCATTATTGTTTCATGGAACTGACGAAAAAAATTTATCTCTAAGTTATCAACAGAACTGCTGTTATCTTTAGGTTATCAACAGCATTGCTGTTATCTCTAAGTTATTAACAGTATTGCTGTTATCTCTAAGTTATTAACAGCATTGCTGTTATCTCTAGGTTATCAACACCATTGCTGTTATCTTCAAGTTATCAACAGCATTGCTGTCATCTCTAAGTTATCAACAGCATTG